GAAATATAGTTTGAAATATAGGTTGCCCATGCCAACCTTTGTGATCAAAAACCAGTGAACAAGGCTGATCAATAAAGCCGAAATATTTGGTTATAGTATTTAGTTTTCCTCAGCGAAGCCCGTTTTGAAAACAATTAACTTTTTAGAGATCTATTAACCTGAGGAAAAGAATAATGACGCTTCGGCAACATCGTTCATTTAATTAGCCATCGGCTCTCTGTTGCCTATATGGCAAAATATTTGCATAGGGGAAGCCGGGGGAAGCCCGGGCGCGGGGGAAGCCCGGCCACCCCGTTTCCGGCTAAATTATTCACAATAAAATGCTCAACTGTTTGTCCTTTCAGCGTAGCAGCGAAGGTAACGCCAGCAAAAAAGTAAAGGCTGACAAAAATTGCATATTGTTAAAGTTATAGCGCAAAAATGATATTTTAAGGGTTTTTAGCTAAAAAGTGAGATATCTTGCACTGTTAATGTTATACCATACAGTACTAATATTTATACAAATGTTATGTAAGGACCGTTTAAGTGTTTGTAGTGAGGGGTGACGAGGCAGGCTGGCTTAAGTATGACATTTTTTCGAATATCGCTGTTCTAAAATAAAAATTAGCACATTGGGGTAACCCCGGGCGAGTGGCCAAGCTTACCCCCAACCGAGAGCAATGCCACTAAACCACTGTTTTCCATGAGATAATAGGTACTGAGCAGGTTTGGTTTACACCTAGATCAAAGATAAATTTCGAAATAAACATGTTATCATAGACAAAGCCATTCATGTCACTTAAGGTCAACTAGGGTCAAACTACGTTTTTGCAGATAACGCGACAGACCATGAAGCTAGAGCTTCAAAAATGGTGTCGTTGTGTTCTTCTTCATCAGCCGAGTCGAATGATATGCAATATGATGCATTAAGGTAAAAAGAAAAAGAAATTTTAAGGAATTTTTGAAATACACATTTTTTGTCAATTTTGCATCACGATTTTCATCGACCTGTACTGTATATGTAGTAGACGCTAGCTAAAATACCAGTAGTGACATAAACTCTAAGATGTCCAGAGCTAATCAGTACCTTAATATTTCACTTTCCGTTAATATTTGGAAAACACGTAATGGTTTCATCAACTCGTTGTAAAGCGCTGGGGAGGTGGCCGGCGTTACCCCTATGCCGGGCTTACCCCAGAAAAATCAACACTTTTTTAAAACTCGATTTTCTCAACCTTATACTTATTCCACGAAACCGAATTTTTGGGAAAACACGGCCAATGAACTTAGTTAGCTAGCAGGATATCAACATTTTATACAGCACGTATGGTATGTAATAAAAATGAAAAAGAGCTTACTATGCCGGGCTTCCCCCGGCTTCCCCTACCTATACCTAATTAACCCTAGAAAAGCATGAGAGTGCATCCATTATTTTCATAACACGACAGCAGTTCAGTTGAAAAATTACAAGCCCACCTTAGCACTCCGACAAAGCTGGATAATTTCCAGCAGCTCCTCCAATGTCGCTCCGCTTCAGATTTCAGACTCGGTCTTGATTGCAGTTATGGGACAATGACCACAATGCAGTATTTCACTTATTATTCACTTAGTCACTCATTACTCAGCTTATTATCGAACTAGATAAACACCACAGCACTGTTTTATCTCACTGATCGCACAAGAATGGGCAAACCCACTCGCAGCACTGCAGCCACAACACTCCCCCGCCGGCCCCCGCGGTCCCCGGCGCACAACTGACAGATTGCGAAAATGGCGCCGCCGCCGTCAGCATATAGCTCAAAATTTCGCTAAATTTACACTGGTTGACGTAAACGAACGGTGCTCTGGATGTGTACCGCAATTACCAGTGCGACACAACACTCATTCGCGCATGGATACACTTGCTTTGCATGGAAACATATCAGTTAGGTATTTGAACATCTGTTATGCTGTTACATTATCCTGTTTTGCGTAAAGATGCTTGTGTGGTGTAATAAAAGTGCCGATGTTTGTTAGTTAACCAATAAACGTCGTATAAAAACAAACTTATTCTTGATGCGTTTACTTATTATGGCGTTGTGCGACGGATACCTTGCTTATTTATCACGAAAATACTTAAACTTAAGATATTTTGCTAAGTGAAGCAGAACTTTGAAGCTACTTGAACTATTTACGAGTATATTGAACCTGACATCGCTCAATATTTCTGTGTGTGAGGGAGCAGCCACCCAAGTCGCGCATGCGCAGAAGGCTGTTGCTCTCCACCAATCATCGTTCCGCGTTTTGCCATGTTTTGGCTCGCACGCTTTCAGTTTGAATCGCGATTGCCGGCGTGATGGGTGTGTGTTGGTGTATGACGTTGGGAGCCGGACGGCGAGTGATATTCGTGTTTCACGCGTTTTATTTTGTGAGTGATAGCACTTTCCATATAGTTCCGCTGAGTTGTGGTGGTTTTGCAGCTTTAATTCATTACAAAGCCTTGACAATAGACGTTGGCGAGTACTAACGTGCCGACCGCCGGGCCACGTGTCGATAAACCACCGTCTGCTGGAAGCGCTAAGAGAAGACAGAAAGTCGAACAATTTCCAACTACGCGTCTGAGGTAAGTGTATGACGGAAATACTTTAGTCATTTTTTACGTCAGGTCAAAGTTCAGGTCACCAGAGGTCATCAATGGTCAAATTTTGCCTATTTCAACAATTTTCGAAACACCCAACGAATTACTCGAGAGCCAATAAAGCTACAGCGCCGCAGAAAAGCGCATTCGATAGCTCTTTCGCTAATGATCGCGTATATATTGTGTTGCAGAAGATGTATGAAATGATCTAGAGGCAGCTCTCGGATCACGGGACCAAGTCCTGTAGCAGAACCGACGCGTGGTGTACAAGTACCTGATGACACTGGATACGAGCACCTGGTTACGAAACCCTCAGAACCGTGGTACCCGCAAAAATGGTACAGATTTGGCACTCTGCAGAGCGATTGGCGTACATTTACACCACATTGGGTTATCCGAACCATATTTATGCGCTCATAATAGGTTACACTACCCCAAAATACGAGGTAAATGAACCTGGGGCATGGTACAAAAACCCGAAAGTAGTGTATTACTACCCGTAATAATTGCGTAGCGTTACCTCAAATAGCGGTGTACCCTGAAAAGCGTCTTCGAATGAACGGAAAATCAAGAGTAGGAAAAAGATGTAATGGAATTCGGGTACCTTGATTATGGTGGTAGCAAGACACGACTGGGATGGGATTACCTGCATTTTTAAGGTAAACATACCCGAAATAGTAGTGCAGAATCGGTACTCTGTAGTACCCTATTTTTGGGGGTGGTTTTTTCTCTGTTGAGGGCTTCTTTGACAAAGTCATTCCACCCTGGGATGGCCTTGCCATTCCCTGTTACCGCCTTGGCAATGCTTCGGCGTGAAGACTCGCGCAAGCATGCCATAGCAAACATGCCAAGCATGCCATGATAGCTGTTTTAACGCTCTTTCTGGGCAATTCTCTCAGATTTGGCCTAAGGTCAACGGTTTAGCCTGCTGAGGACAATAACTGACAAAATATACTTTTTTTCGGAAACGGGTTTTCTGCAATAACTTTTGAATCAAAACTTGCACGAGCCTTCTTTTAGCAGCATCGTGTTTCACTCGTCAAGACTCATCGAATGAACTATTACTAGTAGGTACAGGGTGTCCAGAAAAAAAGATACTATGGAAATTAAGTCGCATTCATTAACGCATGCGTGCCGATTTTGTTCCAACTTCATGTGCTTTATATAGTGCAAGATTTGGCAAAACTCATGAGCACTGTAATGCGTCGTTGGAAAGTTAATTGCCTGCCCTCCGAGATGGTCAACATGACCATCAGTCACCTGCAGACTGTGCTAGTGCTGGAGCTGATCCGCCGGAAGGCCGCTCACATTGAGTATCTGCTTTGAGGAGCTGCCGCGACTAACCAAATAGTTTACATGCCATAAGGCACCTGCTGTCTGTTTTGCCATATTTTTGCGAATACAAGCATGTGCCATTTTAAAATGTAAGGTGTTTATTTTCGGAATTATAGCAAAAAATAATAGTATCCGTTTTTTCTGGACACCCTGTATTTGACCTTGAAAGGTCAACTTAAAAATTTGACCTCAGTTCAAGGTCATGACCTGACCGGAAAAGGGCATGTTGCATATCACTCGATTCGTATCGTCGAGCCTAACACATCTTAGACGTTTTCATTGCTTTAGCATGCGTTTAGCAAAAGTTATGAGCGAAAAACTGTTAGATGCCGTTCGTAACCTACATAGATGACCTCAGGAACATAACGAGGGGTCACGGATGCCATGTTCCGGCTAAGTGTGTCATTTTTGCTTGTAATTTGGTGTTCGACCTATAATGGAGAGGTCGCAAAATTGACCTGACATTAGGTCACCGATATCGTAGTTCCGAGGGATACATTTTGTAATTTGTACATACATTCGCTCTTGTTATTATAATTGCTGAAAGTTTCAAAGTGATCAGTCATTCAGTGTAGCTATTGCGGGCATTGAAACTTCTTATGTGGTGGGGTCACTTGACGTGACTGACCTGACCTTGAGTGACCCTGGTCTTAAATTTACACAGCATGTGTAAAAAGATGTAAAGATGTATGATGATAACATGTGCCAAAACCGGAGGGTTGGTGTTCAAACAGCCCCCCGCCCTCAGCAGGGCGCGGGTAATCAGGTTGCTAGAACCGATGCTTTGCATTGCAATTTTCGCAAGAGTTGCGAACACTTATTTCGCGGGTAGATCTTCTAAAGATGCTGATATCTGTTTTCAATTAACATTAACGCTTACGTCTATAGGTAAGCCAGCTTCAGCGCACTGTTTCCTCAACAAATGAATTGGAAAAACAGGTTATTTAATTTTAACTTTTATTGAAACGAACTATATAATCGACAATAAATATAAAATCGACGAAGAAGGAAATCTCCACATGCACAAATAGTCAGGTACAGCATTGAACAGCTCAGCTGAGGGCCGACACGGCGCGTCTGTCCCTCTCCCGTTTAGAGAGGGAGAGCAGCCCGGTTGGCGGCAGGCGGCGCCGGCGGCCGTCTAGTTGTACGGCTGCTGCTTGCCGGCCGGACGGTATGCCGGCTGGCTGACGGACGCCGCCGGGTAGCGCGCCTCACCCTCGTACGTCACCTCGGCCACGTAGCCGCCGTCGCCGCTGACGCTGTAGGTGACGCGCTGCACGCGGCCGTCCGGCAGCGCCACGTAGTAGCTGCCCTGCGTGTTGGCTCCATCGCGCGACTCGCTCTGTCCAAAGTCGACGGCGTAGTTGGAGTCCTGCACCTTGTAGTCGTAGGCGTACTTGGCCGGAGCGTCTGAGTACTGCTGCTGGGCGTACTTCTGGGGAGCCGCCAGGGCGACCGCCACCAGAGCAGAGATGAGCAGGACCTGCAGGAAATGAAGACGGGGTGGTTACTGGTTAGGCCATCCGCTGCCGTAACGTGGGATGGGAAAATGTGTGAGGAAAATGAAATACCTACATTGCTCTTAGGGCAAAGTTATTAGTCTAGCAACTGCCGGCTGAAGCGTATTTATGCTTGAGCTCAGATTTTTTTAAGACAATGAACTACGAAACGATGCTTATGTCAACGAAAAAAATGAAAATTTTGTTATTAGCTCTTATAAACCAAACTGTATGATGCATTGCTAATCCCTGTATGAAATGCATGAATATGTACCAGTATAATGTCAAAGTCGTATAATGTCAAACAGGCTGCTCTCTAAACGGGAGAGGGACAGACGCGCCGTGTCGGCTAGTATAATGTCAAAACAGTTTTACTCTCACCTTCATGTTTCTAGTTGAGGTGGTTTGGTGAGCTGTTGGCTGCTGGATCCGCTATGAGAGACTGGTGTCGACAGTAAGGCACACGCGGCCTTTATACCCCCGGCAGACTCTCACGGTACTGGTTGGACATTCAGGCAGTGACCCAACCCGATCGCCGGCAGCAACCCCAACATATGTTAACCTTGCCTCAGGAAATTTGCATCGATGTGACTGTTATTATGGGTGATCGGTATGTGTCCATTTAAAGCCTTGTATTGCTGCCTCAGCCAGGGGAAAAAAATAATAGGCATACAACTCCCATGGGATTGCTCGATTTTTACATGCCTGGAAGGTTATCTCTTAATTCCTCCCGAAAGCTGTTAATTATGACTTGAATTGGTTACAGAAGCAAGCAAAGTCTTTCATTGTGCCACCGTCCAATGGTGAATTCCCCATATCGGTTCGGACCCCGCCCCCATAATTTTTTTTTAACTTTAAAAGTCGTAATTATATGTAATATACCTATATATATGTATGTAAAAATGTAAGGGTGCTATAAACGCAAATTCCGAAGTATCCTTCATGATTGACTGACATACCCATATTGAATGTTAATGTCTTGGTGAGCTTTAACCCGCGCCCCGCTGGGGGTGGGGGGCAGAATCTGCCCCCCCCTCCCGTTTTTCGCCAATAACTTCTAAACGCGTTACGCCAGCGACGTCAATTTTTCAGTACCTTATCATACATCAATTTGACACGTTCCCTGAAAATTTGAACGAAATCTGTCGGAAAATTTTTGAGAAATTGACGTTTTAGTGACGTCATGTTCGCCATTTTCGCCTCAAAAACGGCAAAATTTCAAACGCCGCTAACATCTTCATTTTTAAAGGAATCAAGACGTAACAAAAAAGGTTATACGTGATTCCACGTTGTCTATCAAATGGCTATCTCGGTTTTTTGAAAATTTTGGATTTTGGCCCAAAATTTTTCAAAAAACTGATTTTTTTGGGAAAATAGTTATAAAATCCAAAATTTTGAGTGTATCGAAAAAACCGGAATAAATGTCAGAGAAGTGGTCAATGTGCATCTACATACCAATTTTCAGAAGAATCGGTTCAAAAATGTGGGAGTTATTCAAAATTTTATGACGTCACGACACACAAAATTTTTGAAAAATGATTTTTTGGAAGTTCTAGACCTCGTACGGAAACAAAAATAGCACCATTCGATTCGCCGTGAAAAACTGCATCAGATACACCTTTTTGGGCCTTAACAACCAACTTCAAAATTTGACCTCGCTTGACCTGACCTTGACCTGACCTCGACCTGAAATTCATCCAGAGGTGGTCCATATCACTTATTGAGTGTGCCTATTGAATTCTATGAGTAAAATGAACCATAAAACATGTGTCGCACATGCCCTTTTCTATATTTTGTTTTGGTGACCTGACCTGACCTGACCTGACCTTTACCTTGACCTTTGAATGACATTGTATGCAACGAATATTGTCTTGGTAGTCTGAGAACACGTTTTGGGCAATCAGTCTCAGTCCATTCTTCGGCAACTACGGTGCAAGGCCGATACTGTAGAAACTTGCATTTTGTACCCTTGACCTGACCTTGACCTGACCTCTGACCTACTTAAGCAAAAAATTTTGGGCTCTTAAGATCCGCCTTGTTGAGAGCTTTCGATTGCCGTTTTCCCCGTCTTTCTACGACCATCGGTTCGGAAGTTAGACAGGGGGGGGCAGAATCTGCCCCCCCCAGCAGGGCGCGTATGGCTGAATAGCCCAGCGGGGCGCGGGTTAACCTTACCATTGGCTTTATTCCTCTGAACTGACACTTACTGCAACCTCTCTTTGCATTTCCCTCTCTTTTACAAGAAATGATTTCGACTGGAACATTATGTGTAGATACTTGGTGCTCATTTGGGATTCTCTAACCGGTCGGCCAGGGAGGTGGGTCGTTTTCAGAAAATGATTGGTAGGGCCCAAAGATGGTGAACGGCCATTATGATAGGGCTTAGGTACCAGGGTAGGGTGCCCATATCTGTCTTTCTCATCGAATTTAGGCAACTTATTTTTCCTTTTGGTCAATGACATGACAAAATAAAATGAATAAATATTTTTGGGGGAATTCCAGGTATTACCGAACCCGACGCACAGAACTACTCGTATTGCCTATACTGATCAGTGAACTCTATAGTGTTCACTGTTCAGTGTTCAGTATTGTCATGTGTCAGAGGAGCACACGCCACTCGGAAATAGACCTACTCCGACCAAAAAGGCTGCAGCTGTGCTGAGAGGGCCAAACAACTGCTTTGAGGGCGCACGCTGAGTGAAAGATTAGATAAGATGACTAGCGAGATCCTTGAGATCCTCCTTGAGAACTAATGAAATTCTTATAGTATGTATGTAGGGGAGACCCGGGAGGTATGGGCCGGTTTTGTGACAAGGCAATTTTCTTCCAGTGGGAAGTGGCTAGAACCGGCTTTTCACTCTGTGTACGTGAAATTGCCTTTCGCCTGCAAAGTGTGCCTGATATTAGGCATCTGGGATCAACTATTTTATCTCGAGATAACTTTCAATAAATCATGCGCTTTTCCGATCCATCAAAATACACCGGTAGGTGTGGGCCATGGCCCGGGAGGTATGGGCCGGTGCCATGTTTCATATTCTTTTCTCGATAATGAGAACAATACTCGTAGCTGGTATCTACCTTGATCTCTCTTAGAGCCCAGGAACCGCATAAGCGGCCAACAGCTTACTTCATGGGGGTCACGTGGGCACATACGTATTTTGGTAAACTCAATCATGCTCCATGAAATAAGATAGATAACATTTTTCTGTTCGAATGAAATTTGTAGTTTTCGACCTTGCGCGACAAAAATAAAACTTATTAAAGAGGATATTCAATGAAAGCATCATTTTATTGATTTAGGATCATCGGGGGTGGGTGGCCCGAACCTCCCGGTTAGGACGCCAGAATGTGCGTAGCGTCTCAGCTCATAATCTTGCAAGAAAGCTTCAATTTTTCTATCCAGTCTTAATTTGTATGCTTTAAACTTTATATTACCGATGGCCTGACGTCATAAAACGAGTCTGGTTCAAATTAATCACGAATTTTCTGTATGTACCGTATTTTACTCGAAGAGAGCAAAAACGCTTTTTCACCGCTCATTGCCAAAGAAGACTGAGGAAAATTTTGGAAATCACGTGGGTTGTATAACGGAATTGCTGCTACCAGTTTACGCGGTCAAATGTGTAAAAATACGCATCACTTCTTCAAAACTGCAATGGCCCATACCTCCAGGGGGCTCATACCTCCCGGGTCTCCCCTACTTACCTTTATCGATACCAAATTATCCGAACCGTGACTTAACAAAACAGTCAGGAAATGGAGACCAAGACACCTCACATTTAGCTACATGTGCTTGCCGTGTTAAGGATCAAAGATGCGATATTTTGCAGATGCTAGGGGAAGTTGGGGCAATGCCGGAGTTGGGGCAAAGCCGAAATTCAAGATATTTCGAAAACCGTACGACATGGATGCCACATGTCAGTGATGTTCTGAAGCTTAAGTGACTACAATTATCGCATGTTTGTTACGAGTCGTCATTCGGAATACTTCGGCTGTGAGGGCGCCAAGAGCGTTTTCAAGGTACGTTTCCCTTGTACTACATGCGCCTTTGAAGCTGCATTTCTGACTCATTATGCTACCGTTTGTCTGGCCAATTCGGTCAAGTAATCTTCAGCATGTCTTTGCATAAGTGTGCTGCCTATTTGAAATTTATACAGCACGTTGAAAAGTTATGGGCCTGCAAATAAAAGTATGGCTGGCTGGGGTAATGCCGAAAACGTGCAATTACGCACGTTAAAGCACTCCACGTGGACTTTACTGCTGTAGAATAGCAACGCGTATTTTTAGTCACACAAATTACACTTTCAACCGACACAACGGCCTGTTACCTCTAAGGAATGATTTACCTGGCCTTTTCTTATTATATCACACAATTATAACTTCCAGTGTGCACCAAGCGTCCTCAAGCTCTTAAAACCCATGTCAGCTTTGATGAATTCTGGATAAAGTTTGAGATAAAATGGCAAAACATCAATTTCGGCATTCTCCGTAGATCATTTCTCCCATTTTCGGCTTTCCCGCAGTCCGGGGCAACGCCGAAAAAGTCACTTCTTTGATATTTCTAGTTTGTGCGCTTAACGGTATGCGAATTCATCAAATGCGCCTGGTATGTTTGAAAGGCAAAAGACTGGCCTCTCGAATGACGCCAACAAGAATAGCTTATTGCTATGCCGAGTGATTGAAAACGCTTTGTGGTCCAGGGGCGCTGAGAGGCCAGAAGGGCGCCGAACAGTCGAGGGATGCACGGTGAACAGAGACATAAGGTCGCGAGAAGGTCAGGAGGGGTGGGCGTCGCTAGGTCATGCGAATGGCGCGATGCTGTCAAAAGGGCGCCATTCTCCCAGAAAGGTGCCGAGTGATTAAAAACGATACTATATTATCCTGGAACGCAAGACGGTCAGGAGGACGCCGTTAGAGCATGCGAATGGCGCCGTGCTCCCGAAAGGACGTTTGTAAAAGACTTGTGGGTGCATTTTCATCATTGTGGAGGCATAATTCAGAATTGTGGGTGCATCTTCCCCCGCAAAGATATTTAAAATTACACCCCTGGGTAAGGCTGGGGCTCTACCAGGCCTATATATAATATATGTACAAAACGATACCCATGCGGCCAGGTATTGTAGATGTCCCACTTCTCCTTCTTCCCACTTCTCACTACTCTCCCCTACTAGAAATGCCGAGTTGTTACTGAGCGTGGTGACGATCTGACTGTTTGTAATCGCCAGCGGTGACATTGCGGCACAGTCTACCTTCAGGCAAATCGTTAACGCCACCAGAATCTCCGCAGATTAGCTGCCATTTGCCAGTTTCTGGTCACTTGGCCAAAGGTGAAATGAATGACGATATTCGTAGAATGGGAATGGCTGCTGTCGGTGGTAAGGCTAGCAGATTTGAGGTTTTATTTTAAGCATATGCATTGTCACAAAAAAAGTGATTACGACGTTCGAAACATTCAAAAGTGGGCTTAACTTAGTAGCTTAGCTGTTCTAGAAAAAAATATCATAAGCTTTTTATTCGAAGGAAAATTTTGTTTCCATTTTAATTCTGTCGTACACTTTGCATCGACGATGAGAGTAG